AAAACACAATGAATTTGTGGTACCTTCTGTGTGAACCTTACATGTTACATGTGAAGGATCAAAGTGTAAAAGAATGGGATGTCACAATCAAGCTGATTTGATAGGGAAAGCAGTAATGTGGAATAGTTTTAAAAAAATTGTGATGAACTTCTGACCTTCAGTGCACCATGTGGTTACCAGTGAATGAAATGACCACACAGATTCCTAGGAAGAAACCAAGAAGTTTTCCAAGAAGTCCCAGGACTTTTGGTATCTTTAAAACTGACGCACGCACTTTGACCTGAGTTGTTAAATTTCAAATCTAACGCTGAAGCAAAGCCAAAACAAAAGGAAATTACACACTGTCTAAATACTTCCAGATTGCACATTACTTTTGAACATCAGTAGAGCATCAGTCAGCTTTATATTGTCCTGCAGCCAGAACCTAAAGCTGCATGACAACTGTGAAACAACCATTACAAAAGCAGACTTGGAGTAGTGATACACAAGCCTCCCCACCATGCTGGTGTGTCAGCAAGGGACGAGCCAGGCGCTGATCAGAAGACAACGAGGATCTGGATATTTGAAGCTGATATTGGGCCAGATTCCCATCGGGCTACATGCTATGCCTCCCCTTTGAGTGTTGATTGCAGAGAGGAGAATGTGGTTGACTGATCTGAAAGGAAATTACTGGAGAGAGAGCTTATCCATGCCTTTGACTGATAATCAGCTCATTATCGTGTTGATCATTTACAGCTCTCCCTCTCGCCCGCTCTCTATTCTTTCAGCTGTGTCACTGAAGCAGAGCACAGAGACTTTTAATGGCTTGGCAGGGAGCCTGCTGTGGTGAGGCAGAGTTAAAACAACCATGCTAGCCCTGGCTAGTCTCCACTGTTACACAGTACAGGTCCCCACCCCACTTATCAACCCTCCCAGGGAAGAGAAAAAATTAAAGAAAAACAACAACAGCGACAACAACATATGCAACCCCGACGTGGGCAGTGCCCTAGCACCCCAACATGGCTAACTGTGCATGAAATTGAACTGATTGGAGTTATTGACCAGAAGGCTCCAGCCCCTGAGAGGACAGGGAGGAGTGTGAGTTGGGAGGGGAGAGGAGGGGCTGGTGTGGGGGTGGGGGCTTGTGTGTTACCTGATTGAGTGAAAAATCCTCAGCCGGTTGCTTTGATGCCTGGCACTTTACAGGAAAGAGTGATTTAATGGAAGCTGCCAGACCTCATCAGTGTCAGCGCTCGTGGTGAGGGCCCTCCGCTCCGCCGTGCTTCATATAAAAGCGCTCGCCATGACAGGTCCTGATGGACAGATGTTTGCTAGTTGTTTTAACTGCACAGTAAAAAGAAACACGGATATCAGCCTCCACCTCTGGCTCTAAAAGACAGGCTGTGGAGAGAGAGGAGGCTGTTACAGGCCACCCCAGTGTGCAGCACCCTCGCCCTCTGCTATTTTAGGCCTCTATAAATAGCCCTATTGAATTTTTGCCGGGGTTGATAAGCCTATAATTAATGTGACCATCATTAGGCACGGACATGTTCTTCTCAAGAGGACCCCGCTGGTGAGGTGAAGCGAGGAGAATGGAGACTTCTCCTCTGTCCTTGTTTTAAAGGATGAACTGAGCAGTGTGAGAGGGTGGAAACTGGAGTGACGACCAACCGGCTTCCCAGTGATGTGCTGAAGACGCCACTTTGTTGTCAAGCTGCTCCCAGCGTCATCTGTCAGCTCCCCGCAAAAGCCCACTGTGCAGAGTCTTCAGTAGATCTGAATTGCATTGGAATTGCATCATTAATAGAGCAGAAATGATTCCCAGCAACTCCGGGAGAATACATTGACCCCTGAGGGAGACTAGAAACAAGACAATGTTTTTACAGTGGGAATATCTAACTAGAGGTCCCATTACCACTTCATCAATATACAGCAGCAAGTGAGTGAGGAGATAGAAGGGAGGGGAGCAAAAAAAAAAAAAAAAAAAAAAATGGAAAGAGGAATGTAATAGCTTATAGTGCTAATGGCAGTCTGAGCGCTCAAGTCCCAAACATTCAGCCGCCTCATCTCATCTGGGCTGTGTAATTGCCCTCCTGGAAGCTGCCACGCGAAGCGGCTGCCTCCATAGTGAAGAGTGGCAGCTGCTGGATGTTGAGGAGCAGGCCTAGGTCAGCTCTCCAAGTGGGTCTCCTTGCAACCATGAGATGTCATAATTAATAGCTATCTGGGGGCCCCGGGGGCCAGTGCTGGGTGGGTGGAGGGGTGAGATTTTTTTGGGGTGGGGGTGGGGGTGGGGGGGTAAATGGAAGCCAAACAGAAAGACACGCCAGACTTATTCCCCACTTAACATAATGTATACTTATCATCACTTTGCCTTTAGCAAGTACGCCTGTGCGGCATCTTATCCTCTGCTTTTCAGGGATATTTTTCTCACTTGTTTGTATTAGGTTTTTCCCTCTGTATCTAAACGTACCTAGAGATATGTCGCTGTTGTGTATCATGGGAACTTAATAATCTTTGGGGACCGGCGTTCTCCCTAGTTAAGTAAATATACATGAGCTGCTGTGCAAGATACAAGCTCCCAGCACCTTCAGAAAAATCTGTTACTTCAGCTTCCCTCTTTCTTCCCTTCCTCCTCCTCCTCCTCCTCTCTCTAACATGCCACCTGGGGGCAAATCTCACTCTGTCTCATCTGCTGCTTAATTTCACTGGAGCGGCCCTCAGTAATGAAGCGCCTTGATGTACATTTGCCAATTTCTGCCTCTGCCACTGCGGTATAATTGGGATGTGACTAAGCATGAATACCCAGCGCAGGGTTGGTTGACCTCTCAGCGACCCCGCGAATAGCGCTTTTGTCATAATGGAGGTATTATCTCACATAATCTGGGAATGGAGAGGGATTGTCTGCAGGGTGCCAGGGATGGAAATGAATTGATATAACTCCTCGCTCCTGTGCACCACAGAGGAGAATAAAAAAAAAAAAAACTGCAAGATATATTTTTTACATGATCATAATGAAGACATTTTCTTCTTATCTATTGCCGCTTTGTGTTTATTGGAGTAGGAGAGCAGCTCCTGGCAAAAGCAGGGGTGGATTTTTTAGCAAGGGAGAGAGTTTTGATGCTGTGGTACTAGAGGATTTCTCTGTATGTGTGTATATATGTGTGTGTGTGTGTCAGCCTTTTCCCTGTGTGGGTGCACTGTGTACTCAATGCACATGTTAGTGAGTATGTGTGTCTGTTAATGACCCTGTAAAATGACAAGCTGAGCTGGCCGTGAGAGTACAGCTGACAGTCAGAGAGAGGGAGAAGAGGTGGAGGAAGCAGGAGAATTCAGATGGTTAGAGGGCGGGGGGGGGGGGGTATGGTTGCGAGGTCGGTGGTTGCACTGTGATTCACCATGCTGTCATCAGGGGGACAGGGGCCCCTGAGTGGCCCTCTGTATTCCCACCTGAGAGGCCTGCAAATGGAGGGGCCGTGCTGTCATTATTTACAGCCTGCAGCTCCTAACCTTGAATTCGGAGCTCATCACTGCGAAGGGAAAATCAGATTGGACTTGACGTGTACCCGAGCCAGTGACCTTGATAAGTGTGAGGTGCCTGCAGCAAGAGGTTAGGGAAGAGGAGCTCGCTTCTGTCAGCTTTCGCTGTGGATTTGTGCGTGCGTGTGTGTCTATGTATTTCAGCCAGGTGGGGAGGGGGAGGTGGGGGGGCACGCGCTGAATGACTGAACCATGACTCAAGATGACACGGTAGGCTTGCTCATGGACCAAGATGTAGCAGGCATATGTGGCATTATTACTGTTCATTTGCTGGCACTAGCGCTGAAAAGATTAGTCGATTAATTGATCAGTTTATTGACAAAATATGAGCTGATAATTGCTTAATAGTTTGTCATTTATCAAGCAGAAATGCTAAACATTTGCTGGTTGCATCTTCTACTAAACATGAGGATTTGTCACTCTTTTCTCTAAATTGAATACTTTTGGGTTTTGGATATGTGGTCATTTAAAATGCACAATTGAAGATATCACCTCGGACTTATGATGGGGGAATTTCTCATCAAAAAACACTGATAGTCAAAATAGATATTATTTGCATCCTGATTTGTTTTTACCAGGTAAAAGCCCCAAAACCCTCCCACATCAGCTGCGTTTGTAAATTGTCAGCCTTGGTCTGAAAATGCACCTGAGCCTTGCGTAAAGTAATGCATCTTTTCCTGTGTAATTTTATTTTTCTATTTGATTATTTATTTTTTTTTCCATCTGAACTAGTTACCTGGAGACCAGAGGGAGGGGGTGGGGGGGGGGGGCGGGGGGTTGCAAAATAACAGAGGAGAGCATCTCAGGAAGGGTGATGAAAATGCATTTTTCTTCCCCTACCGAGATGCTATTTGGTCGTGTGAAATGATTAATTTCACACATATACAGGTCATCCCCGAAAGCGGCAACATCTCATTCACAAGGGGCCCCCGTCAGCAACAAAACAGGAGGCTGCAATAAAATGAGCAAACAGCAGCACGTACTGTACGTCAATAAATCTTTGGAGGTTAAACCTGAGCACTGTAGAATTTGAGCAGCCCCCCTCTCTCATCAGTTAAAAGTCACTGAGTACATCAGGACTGTCGAGACCAAAAGAAAAAAGAAAAAAATGGCCGACGAGCAGCTTCGGGTAGTGTCCTGTGGTAGCAGGTACACACTCTCTCACACGCAGAGAGTGTGTGTTTGCATAAGTAGGATGGAGCCTTGAATTATTGGGTTTGTGTAAATAAGGAGATGAGACTGTTTTTAGCACACAGGGAGGAAGGAGAGCTTGGATGAGAATAGTGCCTCTGTGTGGAGTGGGATTGGTCTTGGGTTGTTTACGACAGCTCGCAGCCCTCATATATCACAAGCAGTATGTTTGCTGTGAAGCTACAGTTTGTGTGCCATCTGCCTTAGCTGAACTTGACCCTTCAAACAGACTTATATTTTGTAAACGGAGCTCCCTGTAACTGCTGTTTTTTTTATTTTCTCTTTCTTAGTGGATGATCCAGAAACCCCACAAGGTGGCTACCTTCTTCGGGTGCATCGGTACCGACCACTTCGGGGAGATCCTGAAGAAGAAGGCCGAAGAAGCCCACGTCGACGCCCATTACTATGAGCAAAATGTGGAGCCGACCGGTACCTGTGCAGCCTGTATCACTGGGGACAATAGGTTAGTCATCTTTTAGTCACCCTTGACCAAGATATGACCCTCTAGCTTGGATTTGAAAGAATCATTTTTGTTCATTTGTACATCCTCAGGCAGGCATTTGACTCCTTGGGGCTGGAAGTCATAACAGGGAATCATAGCTCGGCTCACACATCAAAAGGAAAAAGCACAGCTTGAGTGTGTTTTTCCAGGCCCCCACTCAGTCTCTGCCGCCCCAGTGGGTTGTCATCCATCTATACGCTGACAGTAGCAATGTGTTAGAGATGGCTGGGCTATCCCAGCTCTCACCTGTCAGCCTTCTCGGCTGTAAAAGGGGCTTTAGCCTCTCTGACGACTCTCACGCTAGCATCATCATCGGCACGTCTGAGACAGCAGAGGTCAAAGCCTGCACACACACACACACACACACACACACACACACACACACACACACACACACACACACAAATATCACTAACAGTGAGGGCTCCAGTTCATGATAGACCAGGTGTGGATCAATAACCTCCTTCTCTAAACACTCCCCTCCTCTGCAGCCCTTCATCCGCTGCTACTGGAGTTGTCAGTCAGTCAACGGCTGGACCCTGACCGCCCCGGGAGCCGGCCCTGCTGAATGGTCTTAGTGGGCTTGTTTGATGTGGGCTCTGACACCTGAAAAGGTCAGGTGCCGTGCTCAGGGAGACGAGCTCTGTAATATTTCTTACAGGTGTTTAACAGACAGCTCAGGAGGCCAGTGGAAAGGTCGCCGGCAGGGCCAGATTGGAAGGGTGATGGCTTTGAAGGATTGGGAGCCAGTATGTCACAGCCCCCGGGCTTTGATTAGTGCAAGTCTTCAAATAAAATCAAATCTACCTCCCCTTACTCAAATCTGACCATTTTAGTTCCAATCTGTGAAAATACTCTATGGTCAATAATCACATTTGAGGCATTAGGAGATAAGTTTATTCCAATCTTACATGTCATTGCCTTCAGGATCTCAGAGTTTTTGTGGGATACTTGGGGCCCAAAATATTCATTTTAAAATGATCATTATTATTATTATTATTAAATCGTATTTATTTAAAGAACCAGTTGGTTGTTTCTGTAACATGACTTTCTGTAACCCTGAACTGAGTCAGTAATGTAACCTTCCAACCACAGTACTCACAACAAGCTCCAACTAGACAAGTTGTAGGGAATCAAAGTCCCTTTAACAATAGTTTCAGGAAGTTTCATGATGACTGATGATTTTTATTTGACTGTGGCTGATAAAAAGTGGTTCTGGATCAGTTTATTTTTATGTAGAAAACTAGTGGTGGGTAAAATTGGCAAACATTACTTCAGTCTGACATGAAAATACAAAATCTTATTGGAGATATTGCAAGATCGCAGATTCCTGGAGGGAATGATGAATGTTCTGCTCTGAAGTTCGACCTCTTAAATTAAGTATCTGTTTAGATTGAGCTGTTATTTGAGAGTGCTGTGCTTTCCCGACGTCTATTGCACTTCCTCAGTAATGACACGCTTTTTGTCTGCCATGCTTGTTCTAACCTTTGAGTCCATTACTACAACTCAGGTCAAGTGCAGCTCCAATCCTGCTGTCATAGTGTTGCCTTCATCCTCACACTGTGATCAACTTAGCACACTGTTACTCTTTTCCTTGACACTAACCACGGCGAGCAGCTTTTCCTCGCCATGTGAGAGCAGCTCTCTTCCTGTAGCGGCACCCTCCTGTCATATGGTCGCCCCTAAATAGCGATGATGGTTGCACTCATTTTGATGGCCGTTCATAAAGAGACAGTGAGGACCGGCTAATGAGCTATGTTACGATAATGCCACCTGCTTCACTTTCCAGCTCCCACCACTCACTACTCAACTCAAGTGTTCATTTAATAATGCATTTCTGTTGTTTTCCCACCTTGGCTAACAGTGGACCACTTTTCCAGGTGATGTGATTATATGAATAATTTGGAGGGGGTTCATTGTTGGCCCTGAAAATCCTTTTGTTTATTTTAATGTCTCCTTTTTTTGGGGGGGGTGTTTGAGATAACCCTTTTTTTTTTTTTTTTAAAGGAAAGTAAAATAAAGACATCCAGATTACTTTATTTCACCTTGGTTCAGAGATTCTAAGAAACTATTATCATCCTTTTATATCATGAAAGAACAAAGAAAAGTCTGGAGCCCGAGTGTTTTTAGGGATGTTTTTGAGACAAAATTAAGATGGATGATAAGCGAGGCAGAAGATTTATGGGGTCTGTCTCGGCAGGTCCCTTGTTGCTAACCTGGCAGCGGCAAACTGCTACAAAAAGGAAAAACACCTGGACTTGGACAGCAACTGGGAGCTGGTGAAGAAAGCCAAGGTCTATTATATTGCGGTAAGTGAGACCCTCTCCATTCAAAATGACTGTTCCCCAACTCTATTGCCAGAAGAGGACAAAATGTTAAGAGGCTTTATTCAGGAAATGCCTCAGCGCGCCTTCTGCATTGTCAATATATCCATTCATCCTTTGTCAAGTGAAATGAGCTACGTTACCTATTGAGACAATACAGCTCCATTCTCCCTATTTGCAGCGCAGTGTGAAATTGTTCTACATGTAATGCATTCATTCATTCCTTTTAACGTGAAGACAAGCCAACAGGTGCTGTGAAAGTGTGAAAATTGATTATGCAAGTTCATTCGGCTTTACCCGCTCCTACACAGTCTTCCCCTTACAGACAAAACACACACACACACAGATTGAGGAGGACAGATGTGCACTCAGACGTTCACACACACTCAAGCTGCACCACTGAGGTAATGTCTTCACTTACAGCTTCTGGAGTAGGATGGCCCGCCATGCTCATGTTTCACTGTTTGGGATTATATTTAATTCCTGCAGATCAACATTTTGTCTGATCTCAAGACAAAATGATAGCCCTGAAATTGCACCGCATTCCACGTCTTTAAGCAGTTCATTATCGGCATAAATCAGCCTTACAGCCCAGCTATCAGCATACTCCTTGGCATATTGTCCCAAGTGAAATTCACAATGCTCCCCCTGTTGCCCACAAGCCCTCTAAACACGAGTGTACTGTAGTGCAATAATGATGGAGGTTTCATAATTAGCCGTCCAGTTGCAGAAACAAACACCAAAAAAAAAAAAAAACTGTTAGTGCTTGTGCCAGAAAGTACATCAGTCAGTCCATCCTCCAGAGTTTGTGTGGTCTCATTTTTAGCCTCTGCTTCGCATTAGCAAACATGGCACATCCTCTGCAAATTGGCAGTTGGGTTTTGCCCACATCCGACAGACTTGTGCGCAGGGAAAAGCTTCCGTGGGATTTGAGGGGGGATAGAAGGGCCACAAATGGGTGTTTGTCAGTGCTTGGAATCTCAAACGTGGTGTTCAGCGTCCCTCCTGGGCCTCTTTGTCAAAACAGGGGGATCATTCGCTTTATTAGAGTCCCATTCGCACTTCTAAAGTACTTAGCCAGATACACTGCCACAGCTATTCCCACTTAATACTGTGTGGCGTGTCTAGACTGGTGTTCACTAAGGCCTCCTCTCTCCATTAACCTTGTCGAGAGCACTCAGATGTATTTACCCAATTTACAGCCAGATTGTACATTTTCTCCCCCCCCCCCCCCCCCCCCCCCCCCCCTCACTGTACCAACCTCTGCTGTGTATTAATGTGCTTTGTTGATTTTCATTAAACGACTGCCACACGGTATACGCGGTCTTGTACACGCTAATCTGTAAATTTAATTACCAAAAAGTGCAAATGTGTGTATTTTAGCATGTTATTTGCTCGCACGTGCGCCCGTGTTTGTTTGGAGCATTTGTGTTAAAGAGGTGATTGATGATTCCTGGCAGAGGCTCTCAAGGTGCCTGCTACTATGTGGTGTGATTGGATGAAAACAGAATTATTAGAGGGCTCCTGCAGCCAGTCTGGCTCATCCAGCAGCAGCGGCGGCAGCAGCAGCAGGGCTGGTGGCAGACGCAGAGCAGGGAGGCAGCACTGCCATTTCTCACAAAGAGAGAGAATGTTGAACTCCTGCCAAATGTTTGGTGGCAGGCTGTTGCTAGGAAATCTGGGTCCTTAGGCAAATCATTGCACAAAGACCAATAACAAAGGCGTGAGGGGGAAGAAGGAATGGCTAAACGCATTTCAGGCTGACGATATCTCTTTTTTTTTTTTCTTTTTTTTTTTGTTGTTGTTGTTGAATGCCATCGCTGCTGCAGTGATGTTTACAGTTATTTCTTTCCCCGACGATTGTAAACATCAGAAATGGAGGGTGATGTATTGTGTGAAGGGGAGATGAGTGACTCTAATTGGTGGGGGTGATGTGTGCGTGCTGGCCCAGTTAGCCTCCCCCCCCACCCCCTTCTTCCCTTTGCTCCCACTCTCCTTCCATCCCCATCCCCCCTTGGCCCTCTATGGACACCCCTCCGTCTCCTTTCCTTTTGCTGTCTCCTTTGCCCCCCCCCCTCTCTTTCTCCTGCCTCTCATACACACACATACACTTGCCGCTAAACACACACAGCATGCACGCACACATTCTGCAGCATACCACTGTCTTGTTTTTCTTGACACTGAGTGCTTTGCCCTGTAATTTGATCTCCACTGCTTGATGCATCCTCCATGATGCCACTTTGAATTAACCTATGGCTCCACAGCTCTCCTTAGCCCCAGCTAATAAAATGGCCTGTCCTAACTTATGCCATTTACATTCAGGAAAAAAAGAGGAGCACTCGCTCCATCCCCTGGTCACGCGCGGAGCGAATATCAGAAATAAAGAAGAGGGGAGACAAACAAGACAATTGACTGTGAAAAGGCCTGTTAATGACTGGGCACAGATGGTCAGAAATAACCCAAGGATAGACGGAGGAGACACTCGCCTCTGCCAACTGGCCTGATACACAAAACTCACCCAATGAGACACAAGCTGCAGTGCTGTCAGGTCACAAACCCGATCACAGCTGTGGACGCTGTTCATTTACGCCTTAAGCTAACGGCGCAATCCCCGTTAGCCAGCAAGAGGTTAGCCACGCCTGAGGAAAACAGCTAGCCCACCTTTTTTCTCAAACAGCGCAGCAAGTTGAAGTAGAATGCCTCACACTGTTAACACTGGCACACTGCATATAGCATTAATTGGCAGTTGCTTTCTTGCCCTCGCTGCAGGGGAAAGCTGAGTTCAGCCTCAGTCACTGTAGCATAATATGCAAGAAAAAAGAGGCGAAGGGGAGGGCAAAAGCAGGAGGAAAGAAAAAAAAAAAAAAGCGCAATACTGGCACCACAAGCAGCACGTCAGCCTGCTTACACCCCAGAGTGGCACACACACACACACACACACATTGTTACTCCGCCCCACCAGCCCCTGCAATTTGCAGCCAAAAAAGCAAAGGGAGAGGTTTTCCACACACACAACTAACTGACACCTCATCAGCCAGCCGAAGGGCTGATTAGCACAGAGGTGACTGCGGCTGTGTCTCTGTCCAACTCAGAGGACCACACTGTCCTCACGTTGACCTTGAGCTTCCTCTCCTCTCTTCCTCTATCCTTCCTCTCTATCCTTCTACTCTCCCTCTCACCACTGCTCTTTATCTCCAATATTCCTCCCTTCCGCTGTCTCCATCTCCTCCCTCCTTCTCACCTCTCCTTTTCTGTCTTTTCTCTCTTTCTTCTCCACTCTGTACTGCACCACTCTGCACTGCCCCTGTCCTTCCACATAGCCAGGGAGGGATCACGAGGCAAAATGCAGGCAGTGGAGAGAAAGAGGAAAGGGAGGGAAGAGAAGTGGAGGGGGGAGAAAAAAACTGGCAGGCTCCCCCTTTGTCTGCAGGCGATCAGTTACAGTCTTGGTTGCCGATGAAATTTAATCCCCACCGCATTTACATGCCAAGTTTGACTTCTGGCAAGCCCTATTAAATAGATTTGTAAATCATTTCATCTTGATTAGAATCTGTTCTCAAGGGATCAACATTTTTTCGCCTTGCTTGTGTTTTGTTATGTGCACAATCTGTGCCCACTGGTGTTAAAATTTGAAAGTCAGCCTTTGGTGGTGGCGTTTTTCTGTGTGAGTGAGTGTGAGCAGTAGGTTTAGGGGACAAAGAGCGATGGGTGCCAAGTCCCGTCCGTCACCGGCCAAGCCACTGTGTCAGCATGTCTCCCATCTCTGGAGGTCATGTCGGTGGGCGAGCAACTGCTATGATGTGTCTTCTCTTTATTAGGCTGACACCACAGTGTCTTTAGCATGGAACAATGTCATTTCAAATTGCGCCTAATCAGATGGCATTTTGTAATTGCCAGCAAGCATCTTATGAATATGAATTCATAATTGTTCAATTACAAGCCGACTGCATCATATTTATTGGCTTATTTATTTTTTTTCCCCCGCTGGCCTGGGCCAATTATAGGATTTCAATCTTGAGGCAATCAAGTGATAAGGGTGAGGCGTTTAGTGTTTGCTGTCACTATATAATTCTCTCGAATGTTAAACATCCATCTGGGAGGGCTGTATTTGTCAGAAGGCTGTGCGTGGAGGTGCACCTGCCTAATTGAGTGGTAATGAGCTGTCAGGAGTGCGGGCTTGGTGATTGGCTCTCGGCGGGGCGTCCCGTGCCAGTGGGATGTATGGGCTGGCCCAGCACTTCTGGAGGATCAGCCAGCTCCACAGCCCTGCAGGCCTGAGTGGGCGGAGCGTGGTAAATTAGGGTGGAGAGGCCAAACGACGCTGGCTGCGGAGACATCCTGTGGCTTTCACTCGATGAGGATTTATTTAGGTTGTTTACAATTACCCTCACCCCCGATTTGGTTTTACTACCTAATGTCAGAGGCGGAGGAAGTTTTCAGATGTTTTGCTTAACTAAAAGTAGAAATACTGCACTGCGAAAACACTCCATGAAAATTTTAAGTCCTACATTTACTTTTTGATTAAGGTCGACATGTATAGAAGTATTTATATTGATTATTGAATCTTTCAAATAATTCTGATTGAATATGTTAATGTATATAACAAAATGAGACATGTTATATTATTATAAAGGCACTATATTACGGGTTCATTATTCCCGATGATTTTTAATGGTCAAGATAGAAATCAACTTTAACTACATTATAAATTGTTAGTCATAGCAATTCACCATATGTCATAAATGAGCATATGTTTTATGTAAAATCATAATCCACAAAGTAAGTGGTCATAACTGTCAAATCAATGTAGTGGAGTACAATTTACAAAGTACATTTACAAAGTACCTCAAAACATTACTGTATAGCACCTGGGTAAATCTACTTAATTACTTTCCCCTGGTGTTGATTGGTCCATGTATTTGTTTGTTTAACTACAATATAAACACAGCCGGCTTTAGAAAAGCAAATATGTTTGAAATTGTTGT